CAACCTGATCTGCAGAACTGTGAGAAATAAGTCCCTAATTCTTATCAACCACCCAGTTTGTTTTGTTATGTCATCCCCAAAGTGTGGACAGAACTCGTGAATGTGATGGAATTTCACTCTCATTGTTAGGTTATGGTATGTGGAAAAGTTGGAAGAGATTTGCTGTAATTAAGACTAAGATATTGACCAATGGCTATCAAAAAGTGAGGACCTCAGTTATAAAAAAAATAAGAAGAAGAAGAAGGAGGAGGAGGAGGAGGAGGAAGAGGAGGAGGATGAGGAGGAAAAGGAGAAGAAGAAAGGAAAGAAAGAGAGAAAAGGATCTCTCAGGACCTCAGAACACAAATTAATTCTGCCAATAACCTGATTATCTATGACACCTTCCTCAGCAAAGCGTACAGATGAAAATGAAGCCTTTTAAATCAGCTATGAGAGATCCTGAGCAAAGGTCAGAGCTAAGAGATGCTTGGATTCCTGACCCACAGAAACTGTGAGATAATAAATATGTACTGTTTGCAATGTTAAATATATGGCGGTTTGTTATATAGCAATAGAAAACTAATACATTCCATTTTGCTTCTTTATTGGATTATTAGATAAACCTGTTTGTGTATGGTTGCTTTAAGGATAACAGTATTCACCCTTAATATATCAGCCTACCTTCAAATTCATTATACTACTTTATTTATAATTTAAGACTCTTCTAGCTGTTTTCATCCTTTTTACCAATCCTATTTCTGTGCTACTTGTTATATACTTTGCCTCTTTGTGTGCTATAAACCCCCTACATGTTGTTTTTATCTTGCTTTAAATGTGAATTATCTTTAAAGACATGTTTTAAGGAAAAAGAAAGTCTCTTTTATTTATCATATACTTATCACTCCCAGTGTTCTTCACTCCTGAATGTAGATCCAGATTACTATTTTAATTTGCCTAAAGCACTACCTTTAATATTTTCTATAAGGCAGGTCTGTTGGTGGTAAACTCTTCTAATTTTTCTGTCTTAAAGAGTCTTTTTCACTAGGTTTTTGAAAGTTTTCTTGCTGCATGTAGAGTTCTAGGTTGACAGTGCCCCCCACAACTCATACACACACCTGTAAAAATATTGACCCACTGTGTTTTACCTTACATTATTTCTGACAAAAAGTCAGCTGTTGTAGGTGAATAATAATAGAAAACACTTAGAGCAGCACCCACTGATTAATATACATCTCATTTGTATATTTATGTATGATTACACATATTAGTTTATTTAGTACCCACAACTATGTCATAAAGTAGGTACTATTATTGTGTCTCTTATAAGGAAATTATGGCACAAAAAGACTGAGCTACTTGCTCCAACTCACAGGACTTAAGATATAGCCAGGAATGAAATCCTAGCTATCTGGCTACAGAGGCTGCCTTAAGCATTAATTCACACTACTTCTTCCTTCTTGATATCAATAGATCAACACAACTACATAGGAAGCTCAGAAATATGCCTAAGTAAAGTACAATACAAGATAAAAAGTCATTCTTGAATTACTGGATTATAATCCTGTTATCCTATGTCCAATCAGAAAATAAGCCTGTTGAGCTAGGGATGTAGCTCAGTGGTAAGCGCTTGCCTAACATGTACAAGGCCCAGAGTTGCATCCCCAGTGGTCTCTCTCTCTCTCTCTCTCTCTCTCTCTCTCTCTCTCTCTCTCTCTCTCTCTTTCACACACACACACACACAGCCTCTGTCCTATATCCTTTGGCTCTGTCTCTGATATGACCTGACTGCTCCCCAGTGTCAGAGTTTTTCAACATGACTTCTGAAAACTAAAGTCCAAAACAACTCTGGATATTTATTCTTCAAGCCTGAATGAATATTTGCCCTTTATGCTATTTTCAAGCCTTCCATGTCTCTGTATCATTGTCACCTGCCGAAAACCTGATTATCATGTACATCTTCCTTGCTTGGAACATGCTTCTTTATGGGTGAACTCACAACCCTTGAAGGTAGGATCCATGTCTTTTTTACCACAGTGATAGACATGCAGTCGTTCTCATAAATGATTGGATCAACAGCTTTAACAACTAATTCCTCCAGGAGCCAAAAATACTATCTTGTTCAGTGAAAGTCTGCTATAAGCTCATATCAGCATCACTTTAATCTCTTGAGCTAGGGTTGATAGTTTCTAACAGACAAAAAAAGGAGTCTTTTATCACAGAAGTAAATGGAAGCTGTTGGCTTTAGATGTCTTGGCTCCAGTTCATGAACTGTTGATGCTATAACACAAATGAGAATGATTTTTTCCATCTACCCGTACCACTTTAATATCCAGCTTTTCAACATTCACCCTTATACTACAAGACAGTAAAAGTGTTTAGGTATTATTTTGTCCTCATTCTATAATGAAGAATAATGCACATTATAATTTTTTATTTTGAGAATTAAATGAGAAAATATTTACAAAATCTTTTAAAATAAAGATTTTGTGATGTAAATCAATTCATAGCATTTTATAGATGAGAATAACTCCAGTCCTGTAGAACAGGTCTGATCTATCTGGGATCACACAGAAGATAGCAGAACTGGAACTAGAACCTGTATCTAACACCAATCCATGATTTATTGCAATTTAGATGTGTGTTGGCCTCCCACCAAGAATGTGGGAACACTGGAACAGGTCTGGGTTGTTCCCTGGGGAATCTTGTGGAGCATCATGATAAGGTATATTTCTATAATTCTGTGCTCTAGCCCAAAGCTAAGGCAGTGCCTGAGAGCTAACATGGTTAAATAGTACCTGAGACTGAAAGGGGGGCAAAATATCCAAGCAAGTTGTATGTCTGAAGGTCTCTGCAGAGAAGGAGAACAAAAACTGGAGAAATTAGATGAGTGGAAGGTCCACACACAGCATGTGAGTCCAAGCCTGGAGGTCACGGTAGGCCTAGATAACACAGCTCTTTGTAATGGTCAACTACTTCTAGCACTAGTGGGTCAATACAGCTCAGATAAGCCCTCCCCCAGCCTACCATGGCAACTCCATGCAGGAGCTTCTAGGAAAAAGCATTTCTTTTCTGTCTTGAGAATCCCACACCCCTTAGAGTAGGGAAGGGAAAAGTGACATCTTTTTTCTATATTTGTCTGCCTTACTGTGAAAAGGTAAAAATTATAGATTGAGAAAAGAGAGGAAATAATGCTTTCAAATAAATACACTCAAAAATGTTTAAATGCCTCTTTAGGGAACTCACTAACTCAAGTAATACAGCTCTTCAACTTGGATAGACTTCTTCCCCTCAATCTTCCCTCATAACTCATTACACATTATATCCTTCCCTCTTATATACTTGAACTCAGCAATGGTAAATGCAAAAATTTAAAGAAAACCCTCAAAATCATTTTTAATAGATAACTGACATGGAATTTTATTGCAAAGCTACCACATAAGACAAATTTGAGTATTAACGTAATTTGTAGCTTTGATAAAAAGCATTCTTTGAAACTAGGGCAGATGAGATTTTGTGGTGATGAGGTTGATCTCTACCTGTCTATCTCAGGTTTTCTGACAAGTCAGCACCCACTTTATGTCTAGTATATTTGACTCTCACCCCTTTGCATAATTTACAGTTTCCTCACTCACAGAAACATGGCACTCTTTGTGCTAGGCAGGTTATGTAACCATCACTATTTTATTTTATAATCTAAAAGTTTGCTAACATTTCATCTCAATAAACATGTCCATATCCAATAGAAAGGAAACAAAGTAGGATACAATATAGTAGGTTAGAATAACTTTGATACTTTCTCAAGAAAAATCTGTTAGCCAAACAAGGAATGTAATTTGTAGATTTTTAAGTGATTTTGCCAGGGATGGGGGAATTGACGTGGCTGAGGACATGGAAAGGAAACTAAATTGAGAATTTACTAAGGCCAAAACTCTATAACCTTTCATATTTTATGGGGGTTGTTGTTCCTTTTAATCATTTCAAAGACACCTATATCCACTTTAACAATGAAAACATCTCTGAGTCTCATACAAGTCAAATAATCTGATCCAGGTCAGCTGGGAGATAAGGGTTCATTCAGAGCTTGAATCCAGATCTACCTTATTCCTCAGCCCAGATGGCTTCTCCACATGGCATAGTGCTTAGGGACATGGCAGAGACTATTGGCAGCACCCATTTTCCCTGATTCCTTCTTAATAAAATCCATATGTTAAAGCATCCACCTTCTCACACACCACCATTTAGCTCAGAGAATGAGGACTCCTCACATACCCAAGGGATACCTGATCAAATGGCCATCACCATTTCCTCTACAATAAGTGCTTTAGGGAGGGAATGTGACTTAATTCTGACCTAAGTCAGATGAGAAAAATCTGCTGGTGGAATGTGGGAAACGCTTTGAGGAAAAGTTTTTTTCTTCTCTCTTTAGAAAGAACCAAACGTGAAATAATTTTCTTCTGGTTTGGGATATGAGCATATCTAGAAGCAATGCCTAGAGTTGTTCACCAGCAACTTGATACCAGCCTAAGGATAAAGTCTCTGCCAAAAAGGGCAGAGCAGAGGAACAAAAGTAACTTGGTCTTGAAGGCCTTGCAGAACTGACCCGTAAGTAATCCTGGAGTCTTCTCACCCCCAGATTGCTCCTTATGGAATATTATCTGCCTGTGTTCACCCTAATTCAGATTTTTTTCCCACTGGTTGGAGTCCACAGCACCATAATGATATAACTGGAGGCCAAGACCCCATACAAGACTGGACAGCCTTCACTCCTTGTAGCTTACAAGGCCAGTGTAACAGAAAGTCCTAAACTAAAGGAAATCCATCCATCCAAGAAGGGCAGAGGAAGGGGTCTTAAGTGGTTAGGACTTGTCACCAAGACTTCAAAAGCACAGTATTTAGGAAATCAGGGGTCAGCTGATACCAAGGTAGGAACATTTGCAGCAATTAAATATGGGACTCATATCAAAGCATCCTGGCTAGTTTATCAAGCTAAATTTGGGCCTATAATAGATTCATGGAACAATGTGCTCGCTTCAGCAGCACATATACTAAAATTGAAACGATAGAGAAATTAGCATGGCCCCTGAGCAAGGATGACATGCAAATTCATGAAGCATTTCATATTTTTTTCTCAGAATATGAAATACAATCAATCAACAAATATATGAAAAAATGTTCATCATGATTAGCAATTAGAGAAATGCAAATCAAAACCACTCTAAGATCTCATCTTATTCCAGTCAGAATGGCAGCTATTATGAAGACAAACAACAAGTGTTGGCGAGGATGTGGGGAGAAAGGTACACTCATACATTGCTGGTGAGATTGAAAATTGGTGCAGTCAATATGGAAAGCAGTATGGAGATTCCTTGGAAATCTGGGAATGGAACCACCATTTGAGCTATCTCTCTCCAGGTCTATACCCAAAGGACTTAAAAACAGCATACTACAGGGACACAGCCACATCAATGTTTACAGCAGCACAATTAACAATAGCTAAACTGTGGAGCCAACCTAGATGCCCTTCAGTAGATGAATGGATAAAAAAAAATGTGGCATATATACACAATGGAATATTACTCAGCAATAAAAGAGAATAAAATCATGGCATTTGCAGGTAACTGGATGGAGTTAGAGAAGATAATGCTAAGTGAAGTTATCCAGTCCCCCCAAAAAAAAACATTTGCCAAATGTTTTCTTTCATATAAGGAGGTTGATTCATAGTGGGATAGGGAGAGGGAGCATGGGAGGAATAGACGAACTCTAGATAGGGCAGAGAGGTTGGAGGGGAAGGGAAGAGGCATGGGGTTAGAAATGATGGTGTAATGTGTTGATCATGATTATCCAAAGTACATGTATGAAGACACAAATTGGTGTGAATATACTTTGTATACAACCAGAGATATGAAAAATTGTGCTCTATATGTGTAATAAGAATTGTCATATATAAATTTAAAAAAAAAGATTCATGGAACAAAGGGTCAAGTCCTACAAACTGAGTCACTTACAAAGAAAGTAGAAAATGGGTTGCCTAGCAAGAGTCAACTTAATTAAATTGATCACCTAAGAGTTTTTTCTGGGCAATGATTTCTCTCTTTTTTTTTCTCATCTAAAAGACAATTTTGAAAACTAATTACCTTCCCAATCACTTTAAATTTATTTATTGGTTTAGGATTTTAAATTTAACATGTCAAATTTTTATGTTTAATATTTAAAGCATATTGAGTTAGCAAAAGTTTTAATAAATTTAATGAAGATTCTGAATATATAAGCTATTTAATTTTTTAACCCAATATGTGTCTTTGCTGGAGCGAATAGGGAGAGAAAGATTGTTAGGAGAGAAAGAATGATAAGAAACTCTATGCTTCAGTCATAGTTCTTGTATTCAGTCATATTCCTTGTTTTATTTTAGAATGCATAACAGAAAAACACACTTTTATGACTCTACATTTTATTTGTTGGGAATAATGAAATATGTCTCAAAGAATCATATGTATAAAAGCACTGACATAACTTCCCTGGAGAAATTGAGTGTAGTTACCATTTTAGTATAGAACTACATAATCTAATGAAAACTAAGTTACCACTTATCTTCTTCCACATTCCTGGATTTTCTCCAGTGGTGTTGAAATTTGATTATTTTCTATAAACCTCTTAAATATTAGTGTTAGGAGAGTGTAAACTCTGAGGCTGATGATTGGAGAAGTGACACTGGCAAGGTCAGATCGAATCTTCCCTTTATGGATACTAGGAGCATCCTTATTGTGCACTGGAGAGATACTTTTAGTCATATAGAGTTCTGGATCCTACCTCAGTTTCAGTGACATTCAAATCATCCAACCCTCAAATCTCAAATGGTGTGAACTACTTGGTGTAGGTTCTTCAAAATGTCCCTGCTACCTGCACATCTCTATTAACATTCTCAAATCCTCCATATTTTGAGCAGTAGATAGAATATCTAAACTAATCAGCAGCTGAGAAGGAATATTTATTCCCATGGTCTGTTCAACCTGAATGAGTTTCAAGCTATTTGCCCTGGTGTAGTTATATGTATCAGAAATTTATGAGAAATTATTTCTTTAATTTTTGTAAGACACAACGAAGTAATCTCACTTCCTGGCAAACTTACTGGCTAAAAATTTTCATTTGCTTTAGTCAAGTCTCCAATGACTTGGAAAAATTTACTGAAAACCCTGCTTTCAAGGCAATTTTGCCATATTCAATTTAAAAGTTTTTCATTTGTCTCAACACTGCAATATTACTAATAACTGCATATAGGCAGCAATGCCTTTATTAGGTTATAGATTATTTTTATAAAGTTAAAATTTGTGAACAATTCCTGCTGGTGCCTAGCATAAGGGAATGATGGTAAATGGGAAAACTCATGTGGCATTATATTTGCCTTATGAACTCATGATGAAGTAAATTCTCTAAGTAAATAAGTGCCAGAAAGCAAAAAGATTGATAGCAGTCCCTTCCTATAATACTCACAGCAGTAAGATAAATTATATGTCTCAGTAATCTTTTATAATGACAACTATATTTAAGTACTTTCTAGTAAATGCTGAGAGAGGATTTACATTGTTTACTATTGCAAATATTTTCTAAAACCAATTAATCTGGATTCTCTAGAGAAACAGAACCAAGAGGATGTTTACTTATTTATTTATTTAGTTGTAAGGACTTGGTTTATGTAATTATGAAAGTTAAATCCAGACCTAGGAGAACTGATGGTATAATTTCAGAACACCAATTATATATATATATTTATAATTTATATATATATATATATATATATATATGTATATATATATATATATATAATTGAAATTCTTAGATACAGAACATTAAAACAAAGCATGAAATTCTTGAAGCATTAAAATATGGAATTAAAATGAAAGACACACACTACAAAATGACTAACTCAAAAAGGAACCAAATAAAATTCTAGAAATAAAAAATGTAGTACCTGAAAAAAAATCTGAATTTGATATATAAAGAAACTGCCCCCCCAAAAAAAAACAAGGAAAAAGAAACCATGAGATATAAAAAGAAATAATAAATAGATAAAGTTTATCAGAATTCCCAAAAGAGACAATGAAAGAATGATACTATTTAAAGAGATAATGACTGTGGTTTTCACAGGAAGACACAGAAGAATGAGGAACAACAGACACAGGAAGGAGAACAGTTAGTAAGACCACTGGTATTCTGGTAAACTGACTCTGAAAATAGAAGTTCAGATTTATAGCAGTGCTTTACTAAACAATATTCTAAACTACATCATAATGGTCAGGATGATTATGTTCCCCTGAAATTCATATGTTGAAATCTTAACCCCCAATGTGATGGCATTAGGAAATGAGGTGTAATTAGGCCATGAAGATGGAGCCCTTATGTTTGAGATTAGTGCCCTTGTAAAAGGGACCTCAGAGAGCTGTTTCACCCTTTATTCACTGGTTGAGTATATGAGAGCTTAGCTGTCACAACATGGAAGAGGACCCTCACCAGAATCCAGATTTTGGACGTCCAGCCTCATTATCCATTGCTTCTTTGTTATAGGAGCAAAAACTAAGACATATGTATGCCAAAAGAGGATAAAATGTTCCAGAAGAAACACCTAAGTGAAAAGAATTGGTGAAGATAATAGATAATTTTAACACATATTATCTGTATAGAATAATAAATATTGTATAATTTATGGAGAAATTGAAAAAAATATCAAGATATTGGGCAAAAATTTGCTTATAAATCAGTAAAATTACTGAAGTTAAACTTTTCTGAAGTATTATATGGCATAGTAAGAGAATCAAAATATAAATCTACACTTTTGAAAAAAAATGGAATAGGAAAACTAACCTCAATCAATTTAAGAGGAAGCAAGAAAGAAGGAAAAATGAATGAAAAAAATGGGGGACAAATAAGGAGCACAAAGAAAAGTGACAGAATGCAGTCTATATGTGTCAATAAAAAAAATGCTCCAAACTCATCAGTTAAAAATAAGATTAGCTGGGGCATATTGTACATCTACAGTCCCAGCAACTCAGGAGGCTGAAGCAGGAGGATCACTTGAGCCCAGGAGTTCAAAGCCAGGCTGGGGAACACAGCAAGATCCCACTCAAAAATAATACAAAGATTATCAATTTGGGTTCTTTTAAATCCAGCTATATTTTCTTTACAAGACACATGATAGAACATAAGGACATTGAATGTAAAATGATGGAATATATGCTCTGAAGTACTTAATGAAATAAAGCTAGTATGGCAATATTATTGTAAGCTAAAATATATTTTACGTAGAAGGCCCTACATCTCTAATAATTTGATGCAATTTTTTGGAAAGTAAATTTGAGTATACATTTATCTTACAACTCAGCAATTTCACTCCATTTTCTAGCGGAATTCTTGCACATGCACCCAGTAGATAAGTAAAGAATGTTCATAGCAGCACTGCTCATAAAAGCAACAAACAATAACAAAAATTACCCAAATGCCCAAACATGAAAGACTGGAGAGATGATATAGCATAGTCACACAATTACTGTACAAAATAACAATGAACTCCAACTATATGCCACATTGTAGATGGATCTAGAAAAAGATTTGCTGTGAAATGAAAAGACCCTGAAGACTTTATACAAGACAACACCACATTTACAAAGCTCAAAGGCAAACTGAACAATATGTTGTTTAGGGATACATACATATGTGGTAAAATATGTTTTTAAGAGCACACATTTTAAATACAAGATTCTGAGGAGTAGTTATTCTGGAAAATGAGTCAGTTGTTTGGGATCTAGAAGATGATGCAGTGAATGCAATAACGTTCTAGCTGTTAAATAGGCAATGGTTTCAGGAGTGTTCATTTTATTGTTTTGTTTCATTAACTTAAATGTATTAAACATATTCCCTTATATCAACATTACATAATAATAAATGTAGAAATTCAGGCATACACTCTTGCTAAAACTCTTTTAGTACCACCACTCTTAAATACTATAACAAAATTCAATTGAACCTCAGAAACAGAACATCCAATATTGAACCCTCACTCACACGTAACAGCATTTAAATAGCAGATCTTGACTTGACTGCATCTCAGACCTTTGCTCTTTTCCCTGCATGGGG